TTATTTTCGGAACACAAGCGGTTCTCCGACTGGTTATTGAATAATGAAAAGATGCATTATCATGCAATACAAAACATTTGGAATACGTTGTCTGACTGAAAACGTAAGATTAAAAGTCATCTGCTTAATTCACAACCATTTACAAGTCAACTACTGGGGCAATTGCAGAATCGTTTTGATCCTGAGCTTCTAAGACAAACCTTATATCACTGGATTTAAACACTTCTTTAATCTTCCGAGAACATTCCTTCTTTAGCTCACATTCCAAGAATATTAAGTGAATACAATTATTGCAAAAGAAAATGAATATTCATTTGCACTACGGCTTGGCAGTTCTGCTTTTTGTGTCTAAGTATACAACAATATTTTAAATATTTACAAATAAAATATTAAATTGGAGATTTAATTGGAGCCTCACCAGTTGCCTAGCATTTGAAGATTGTTAAATACTAATTGTTTGTTGCGAAGTCTAACCCAGGGTTTTGGATGGTTGGTTTTCGTAGTTTTCTAGGTTCTCTTTACAAAGGTTCTCTATGAAAGCATCTTAACCAAATAGCTCCCATATTCTTTCTATGTTCAAATAACCAACTAACCTAGTTTAAGTGCGATTTCCAAATGAAGTTACTAGCAAATCCCGAATACTCATTAAAAATCATGTAGCTTGCCAATCGGGAGTAACATGAAAGATACGGCGCCAATAATTTAATTGCTGTTACGGTACGCTGTTTCTAAATTTAGATGGTCATTCCTTAATTAAATAGCCCACAAGCGGCCGAGCGGTAAAGACGCTGAGCACTGGTAGTTCGGTCGGAAGTTCGAAACCCGTGAACGGGCTGGCTGCATGGGCGTTTTAGTGGTTTTCCCCCTGTGTAACGTGTATACGAGCCAGTTTACCTTAGAAAGTCCTCCACGAAGGCATCCCTCCCTTTAGGCAGATAGCCCTCGTGTGCTTTGCCATAATTAAATAATCCAATCCAATCCTTAATTAAATATAATTGATTTGTAACTTCTACTAGAGCTGACGGTAAAAACTGAAGTGCAAATAAATAATATCGTGTGCAATCTTGATTAATATAAATTAAAAATTTTGCATAGAAAAATATTTGCATTCAGACAGAAAGTTTTTTTGAAATATTTGCAATTACTTTATAAGAAGGATTTATTAATAACCGTAATAATTACTTATTATATTACTGATGATTAGGATTCAGGTCTAGACAATTACATTCTAAATTAGAATTTTAAAAATATAATGAAAATAAGCTACGCACAAAAATACATTTTTACAGATTAAATTGACATTAAATACAAAAATACAGAATGTTGGGTGTCGTTTATATAATTATTCTTGCTTGTCCACAGAATCTGCTGACTTATCCAGCCATTAAGTAGCTGCAGATCATTTCTACATAACCATTGAACTTCCATTAATTCAGTCTCTACAGGGTTGTATGTTTATATCATAATTTGACTTTTATAAAAATGATTATTCTAAATCTTATATTTCTATAAAAATATACTGTGCTTTAAAAAATATGGATGATAGTATTGCCGCTCTTTCAGCCACTTCAAAAAGCAACAGTTTGTTTAGAAATAAATTATGCAGTTAATGTCATAAAATATTTCATTAAATTCAAATAAACATTAAACGAAAATTCTCAGTTTTTAGACAATTCGATTTAAACGAAGTAAAGTAGCAGACGATAAAAACCCCGAAGGTAAAAATTTACTCTTAGGGAAAATGTACTCTTATTTTTTTAAAAAAAGGAAGAAAGAGAGAAATTTTAAAAAAATTTTAAAAATTTGAATAATATCATCTATAATTTAAAAAATAGATTTTCATATAGTATTAATAAAATATTTATTACGCCTTATCGTGGGAAAAAATTTCATATAATTAATTCTCCGTAAATTTTACTTGAAATTTAAGGTTAAAAATAGCTGTGGCAATTGAGTGTTGTAACAAAAATCCATAGACCACATTTGGCGTTATTATCGCTAAAAAAAAAGGTGCCAAATTTCAAAACGCGAAAAATATGTAAATTCGTGTATATCTTAGAAAATTTTGAATAAAAAAAGTCTAATTTTTTGCAGATATGCTTAAAAATACACCTACTTTATAATGATGGTAAAAAATTTTTATAGGTTATAATTCAAAATTTTTTTCAAAAAATTTATAAAAAATTATTTAAAAATAGAAATTTAAAAAAAAAAAAACACAAAAAAATGGGTAAATTTTATTTGGAATGAACCTAAATTTCGAAATGTGAGAGAAAAAATAAAAAAAGTTTAGTAAAAAAAGAGATATTAATAAATATTTGCCAAATTCAATTAACATTGAGGAGCTAAAATTTTGAGAGCTAATATTTTAAAAAACTACTCGTACGATTTTTACGAAACTTGGTATTCTGGCATAATTTGAGCCGTAGAATCGAAAATGGAAAAAAATGGAAAAAAAAATTGGTATGTTATTTCAGAAAAAAGTCCGATTTTTGTGTCAAAATACCTATGTTAGAACAGTGCTATATATAAATCTAATATATATCCTAAGTCGCGCTTTCGAGACATGAAAAACGCAGTTTGAATTTTGTCAATCGGCCCAGTAGAACGGGAGATATAGCACTGTCCCATTTCTTTTTTTTTTTTTTTTTTTTTTTGAGCAGTGTACATAATGTTCTTAATGTATCGCTAGAAGAAGTCCAGAGACGTAAGATAGAGACTTCGTGCAGGCCACATAATTAGATCATCTCCTCCAATCCCATGAATTAGAGAACCTCTCATTTAAGGCTTCACGTATAGAAAAGGAGAAATGAAGAGGAGCTTCGTCCTGCATGAAAACGACGTTACTCCCAGTTACAATTTCCGAATCATCAATTTGTGGAAAGAAATAAATTTCCAGTATATCCTGATAAATGCTTCCGGTTATGCTGTCTCTGTGAAGAAGGAAGAAAAGCCTGACAACCCGATCGTACAGCAAGCCACACTAGACATTCACTGTTGAAGAACGACGAACTTACTGGTGGCTTTCACTCGACTGCTGCGATCCCTAAATGCGAAAACTATGACGATTGACACACCCTTTGATATGAAATGTCGCCTTGTCTGTGAAAAAAATTGTGATTTAAGATGCTTTCCTCATCATGAAAGCAGCAAATTCAACTCGCTTAGTTTTGCCCTCAGTCTTAATCTCATGCCTAAGCTGAATCTTGTAGGCTTGAAGTCATAAACTCTTATGAAGGTCGTTTTAATTGATAGTTTTGGGAAAACCCAAAAGAAACTTCAACGAGTAATGGACGTTTAGGACTTCTAACATAGGAGCACAGGACTATCTTATGCGTTCGAAGTGCGTGGTCATCACCTTTTACCACGCTTCCAATTTCTTTGAATTTTTCATCCATCGGTTGAGAGCTTTATCATCTGGAGCCTTTTCTCCGAGATGTAATATATACCATTTACGTTGCACTGCTACAATTGATTTAAATTCTGCATACCACAACACAAATTGCGCTTTTTGTTGCATGGCCCACATCTCTCGGCACGATATGAGGATGGAAGAAAACAGCTAAAAAAACCTCTATTAGCAACGCCATCTATACATAGTGAGAGGTGAAAAAACTTATATTCTTTCACAACATTCCAACATTAGAATTATTTTCGTGCATTTATGAATTAATTTTTAATAAGCTTGAAAAATTCCGGCATTCCTTTTCGATGACTCTGCAATCACATAAATAAAATTTAATATATGAATGAATATGAATTTTTATAAAAAGAATCACAAATAATAGCAAAATCTGAATTTAATGGTCTATTTGAAAGCAAAGGAGGATATTTTATATTTTTAATAAAATAAAAGTCACAGTTATGTAAAATTCAGATGTTCATTATTAAAGTCTTTTGAAAAGAAGGTTTTAAAATGAAATATGCAATGTTATGACAACTCTGGGCTCTCTTTTATCAAACTAGTAAAAAAATATAGAAAAAATAATTATAATTAAAGAAAGGAAAATGTAACAAATTATATGTTCCATTTCATAAAAATTAATGATAACCAAATAAATTAAAGTTTTCTGTGATAAAATAAGAAATTTCAAGTCAATGTGCAGAAAGCAATAGTGCATGTGCCCACAAATGATTTACACTAAAATCCAGAATTTATAATCAAGCAACCAGTATGAAAGGAACTCTAGGAAAAATTATAGTTTCATGTAATAATTCTTATTAAATTTCATGGCACCGAGAAATGATTCCTTCATTTTTTTAATTTTTTTAATAAAATACTGCCTTTAAAGATAAAACCATTAGAATGAAACATTCACATTATATGCAGTTTTCTTGTTATTCAGCCAGCTTGAACAAGAGACAAGAACTCAAGGAAGCATTATTTTTGTTAAAAATTTTATTAAACAGCTTCCTATCAATTTAAATTTAAATTTGATTCAATGTAACGCTACTGATTTAGAAATAATGTACATGAAAATAAACTGTCAATTCAACTAATTTTGACGGTTCCTATTATGTTGTTCCTAATTATTTAAAACTGAAATGATTATATGTCAAAAAAGAAATGCAAAATGAATTATTAAAAGTCAAGTATCAGGCAAATCCCTTCCTCTACACGAACAAAGATCTCAATGCGTACAATACATTGTATTTTGTGTTACTGTAAATATAAACTGAACAGTAAAATATGCTCTGATTTGACTTTTCTAAAATTTTGACGAAAGCTAAAAAACGCTTTTATCTTTAATCGCCATTAAGCATTGTGACTATTTAATAAATTAAATCAATGCTGTAAAAATTCTGTTCATACATACAGCAAGACAAAATGTGACGACATGAAAAATAACACTTGAAAAGGATTTTTCATTTCTTGCAACCTAATTAATTTGAAAGTAAAAAAGTAATTAAGTGAAATTAAAACTAACAATAATAACTTGTCAGCAGTTTAATGTACCTATTTATTTCATCCATATAAAAAGAGTTGCAGGTGTACTTACTTTCTGGTTTTCTACAGGTTCATCGCAAAATTTTGTTTGAGTTTCACTGCATTTAACTTCTACTGCTTTTTCTGGTGTAAGCAACAAATGATGAATTTCTTCCTGTGGTAAATTTTAACCATTTGTTAATTATAATATACGTACATACATAGAGAGAATGGATGGAAAATTAAAAACAAGCTGAAACCTGTGAATCTGAATGACTGTATTTTAGAATACATTGATCCCTTTCAAGAGTGGAATTAAATCTGCTGCAGGAAAAGTTAAACACATGGCATAACACAGAGATGCATGAATAAGTCCAGTGCTCAAGTTCAGGATCCTAAAAAAATTATTGCATGTTAATAATGTTTCATTTAAAGTTTGCATCATATTGGCTCAAATGTCTTTTTACAATGCGATTCTAAAAACCGCACTTAGTACACAGTTAAATATTAAAGAATATATTAAGACAATTTATTATTTATTTCTTAAATTGGTACTAATTTCTTAAATTGACTCCGATCTTGGCGTCAAAAAAGAATCGCCAAAAAACAAGGGGCACCCAATTGTAAACTTTCAGCCTATACCGTTTTGAGGACCGTACAAAATCGCCAAACTGTTGTTAATGCCAAGTGCTGCCAAAAGTAATTGCGACAACCCTAACGCAAGAAAGGAAGTATAATAGTAAGTAACTATCTAAAGATTATTGTTTTAATTTTTATGAAAGGTTTATTTCATGTAATACTTTTTTATTATTATAATTTATATAAAAAAAGCCTAAATATAACTGAATGGAAGCATAAGAGTAAAAATAAAAAAAAGGCTAAATATAACTGAATGGAAGCATAAGGGTAAATAACTATTTCGGATCATTATTATAATAAAATATATTTTAATAAATATTTATTATAATAAATAATTTTTTCTATATATTATTATATACAATTATATATATATATATAGAAAAAAGGCTAAACTTAACTGAAATGGATTCCTACATCGCTCTTTCGCTACCAAGTTATCGCTAAAAGCATAATTTCATCTCTTTTGGTTGTTGAAACATAATTTTCTATAATGAATGATGCCTTTTCTTTGAAAATATTCTATTGCAGACTTTTCGTCATGGGCAATTCCCAAATTGTTAAATCCATAGGATATCAAAAAAGGATTTAAAAATTAAACTAATCGTTCAATGGTGTCTGAAGAAATATAGAACTACTATCTAAACTTACGTTAATTTGAAATCAGCGCGTACGCGAGATTTGGCGTGCTGTTAAATGGGCGCGTTTGCTAGATTTGGCGCTTTTTCGCTTACATTTTCGCTGCAATTTTTTACGGTTCTCAAAATGGAATGTAAAAAGTAAGTGATGATTGATTTAAAGTAATGATTAATTTAATGATAAGAACATATATTTGCTCAGTTTCATCTCAAAACATGCCATGTAAAGTATTTAAATAGTTTTATCTTTGAACAATTTTTAAAATTTTAAGTCCAGATACATGAGATTATTTTGTATGCAAATTATTTTTTTCTTCTAAAACACTTATAAAAATTGGCAGTCTTCTTATATGTGATGCGATCTCTTCTTACTTCAACAGTTTTCTTATGTCTATAATCATCTTATTTCCAGACAGTGGTAATCAAATCATTAAATTATATGCAGTGTCTTCTTATACACAGGCCACTGTGGCAGTTAATTAATAACTCTAAATAATTACAAGTATTTTATTAAGAAAATTAAGTGGCATAAATAACTATTGTACTTTTTGTAAATTTTAGTATAAAATATAATACTCAAAACATATAAATCACTTATGTGCTGAAAATTATATTCTACACTTCAATATTATCCAGGTTACTGGATATATTAGTACTTCCTTATTAAAGCAGCCACCAAATTTATTTGCGAAAATCAGGAATGCATATTTCAAATAATGCTAAAGACTTATACAGTGGCTGCTTTAATAAGGAAGTATCCATTTAATAATTAAAATTTATCAATAAATTTGAAACACTTCAGTTTTTCTTATATAGGTAAGAAACTACATATCCCTATTATATTAATTTTTAAATTAGTTCATTAATTTATCTTCACACTGAATTATTAAGTAACTGTTTAAAAATTACACCATATTATATTTTTAAAATCTTTCATAATTGCAATTCTATTTCAAGAACTATTTGCAACATATAAATTTATTCATATGTGAAAAATTTATTCCATATGTTTATTATGTAAAAAATAGATAAATCTGAATTAAAAAGAAAATTTTAAAATAATAAGAAATTTTAATAGCTATTTAAAGCCCCTACAGTTTTTGACTTTTTTAGATAGCATAAAGTCAAACTTCAAACAGACTGGTGACTGGTTCCTAACAACAGAGTGAATTATCGCTTGATCGGCAGTTAATGGCAGAGTTTTGAGAAGATTTTTAAAACAAACCTTTCAATTAAATCAGAACTGAAAAATTAAGGCACTTGTCTGGTGCCCAGATAAACCATCACAACTGAGGCGATGAAATTTATAACTAAATCTAGTATCCAACTGATTTTGATGGCTACACACGCCGAAGTTGGCTCAAAATTCTCACCGGTGTAAAAATTTAAATGTCGGCAGCTATAATACAAAACCGCAGACGGCAATATCGATGATGATGATGATGATAATTTAATTCTTATCAGAGCTAGCGAAACCTAATAATGCGATCTCGAGAGGCAGAAACACGTTCTATCTTAAAATCCGAAAATCTCATCTTAAATATCCTGGAACTTATTGCATTCTGGTAATAAACGAAAGAGAAGTGACAGTAAAGATCTAAATCATAAAACGTCTGGTTATTAACCTTATATCTTTCCCCAGCAGAATTTAACTAATCGCAACGAAGATCTTTAACTTAATAAGATTCTAAATTCTAAACCTAAACCTGAGCCAGCTTTTTACAAGTAAGAAATTTCTAAATCTAAACTGGAATTGCATTCGCAAACGACACACATCACTGTCACATCACCGACACACAATTCTTGAGGACAATAAATTCAATGCATCTAAAAAAAATTTGACTGGCACTTATCTCCTTCCAAGCATCTGGAAGGAAATACATTTTAGCAACAAATTTAAACATTTCTTTCTACAAATAGTTCCCCCTCCCTCTGCTTTCCAACGATGCACTAAATGCACGAGCATGTGCATTTAGTATAAGCATTTTAAACTTCGACCTCCTGACCGTCAACTTTCTCATACATGTTAATAACTTAAACACACTAGCCTTCAACGAACGCCTTAAATTCGAATTATTCCTGAAGTGCTCAGATTTAAAAATTTCATTGAACTTTAGCGTTGGCTGGGAAGCCTAACTTTAACTACGTGCATTCACAAATCTAGCTTTTACTTTAACTTATTACCATAGCATGCAACGTTGCACTTAAATATTTTATGCACACAACATCATTTTACTTTTATACATAGTTAACATAAAATGTTTACGCTTATAAAACTAATTTAGTACACATACTTCATGAACATTTAAAATTCAATTTATATTCAAAAGATTACTCAGTTTGAAGTTTACATCAGAATGTATAGAAGTTGCTTACCTGTGATATAGTACCTACAATACAGTACGTTAGCTACGGATTAGAGTATTTAAAAAGGGGACAGAAACCCATCCTGCAAATTAACAAAAATTTAGGAAATGAATTTAATGTTACTTAATTTTTTTAATAAATTTATTTCTTCATTTTTGGGGGGGGGTCATGTGCTCATGTGCACAAATAGAGGTGCCATCACTGCTACTAAGAACGTTAAACACGACACAATGCAAAGCGCATCTAAGGGGCGAAGCTCTCATGGATATCTCAATACTCCGAAGTCAGCTCTGAACGATATCTGAGAGCTGATACTACGCCTAAGAATTGCCAAGACTGAACAGGCTCACACTGTTGGAAAAAAAGGAGCTAAAAATATCGTTTTAACATTATTCAACGAAAAAGCAGCTAATGACTTTAATAATATTCCGTTGTCAGATGATACAGTAAGTCGATGAATTAATAAAATAGAAAATTTCATAAAAGAGTCACTTATTTAAAAAAAAAAATAAAACACTGCGAGTATTTCGCATTGCAACTGGATGGAAACACTGATATAACGAACTTTGTTCAATTATTAGTTCATATACGCTTCGAAGCAGTTAAACGAATTACCGAAGAGTATTTATTTTGCGAATCTCTTCATGATAGAGCAACTGCAAATGAATTTTCAAAGTAATTGACAATTTTATGTTTGAGAATAAGCGCATGGCCGTATGCAGTGACAGAGCTCGGGCTTTAACAGGAAAGCATTCCGGTGTTATTTCTCAAATAAAAAGGAAGTCGCGCTTGAAACTTAATTTTCTCACTACTCTATTCATCGCGAAGCTTCAGTATTCAAAACAGTCCCCAAGACCTGAAAATCGTTTTAAATCAAGCTGTGAAAATTGTTAATTTTATTAAAAGCTGAGCTTTAATTTCTAGAATATTTACGATTTTATGCCAAGAGATAGGTGAACATGAAACGCTTTTGTTACATTCCGAAGTAAGATGGTTGGTTATCCAGAGACAAATTTTTAAATAGTCGTTTAGAACTTCGATCAGTAATTCAGATTTTCCTCTGTGATTCAAAATTTAAATTGCAAAAAAGTTTATTTAGTGAATTATGGTTGGCGCATTTAGTATATTTAGCTGATATTTTTGGAAAGTTAATAAAAAAAATCAAGCTAATAACGAAGAATTGTATAATAATAGTTTAAGCTCTTTATTACGTTTAGAAAGTTTTCTAAGGGAAAATAATTTGAAAATGAAAGGATTATCACCTGGCACTAACATATCATTGTTTTTCAATGATAAATAATTTGAAAATGTGTTTTCCCGAAGATTATGAAAAAGAAAATTGGATTAGAAATTCATTTTGTTCAAATATATCTGAAACTTTATCTGGTGAAGGAAAAGAACAATTGATAGAAATTTTCTGTGATCGAATTGTAATTGAAGATTTTAAAAATGACACACTTGCTAACTTTCGGCTGAATCAGAAAAAAAGACTTTAAAGGCATTTCAAATAAAGCTATTAAATTTTTATCACCCTTTTGCAGAACCTATTTGTGTGAACAAGGATTTTCTTCCATGTTATATTTAAAAAATAAATACAGAAGAAAATTAAATGTGGATCTCAATTTACTGTTTAAACTAAGTGAAATAAGACCAGACATAAAGAAATTGATCTCTCTTAAACAAGCCCAAATTTCGCACTAAATTTTAGAATTATTATAACTTAAATTTTGATCATTAAAATAGTAACTAATTTTTAATCTAATATTTTATTTGTGCATATTTAATACAAAGAGCCAATAGGTTGTTCAAATGGCAGACTATATATTTTTTAATATTTCTATTGAAAAACTGAAAAATAATCATTTTAAAATGTAGCGGTGGTACTAAACGTTTCCAATTTTTGTTTAGATAGTACGTTTTAATCAAAAGGTTAAGAACCGCTGGCATATACGATTAAAGTTACATATAAGGGCAGGATACGGTTACAGTTACATTTAGGAATCAATTAAGCGCCGAAACCATTACCAGCTTGGCGATATCTCGCCAATTTAGCGAGATAGCTATTTACCTTAATGTTAAATAGACTTGCCCCAGTAATCTTATTTTTCCGGTACAGCTTCGCTCTCTTCACACTTTTGATGCCATATTATGCAAAAGATACTACAATTTCACACATTTTCACTAAAATTATTAACATATATACAAAATTCGAAACAATAGGAATTGTACTTAATAGCAATTACTCTGAAAAAAAATGTAGAATTACAAATAATTAAAACACAACCAGTTTAACAACTGGTTTCATACATTAGCTCTGAAATGTGTAAACAAATAGGATACTATCATGCATTAAAAATTTTTTATGCTTAAAACGTGAAAAAAATCAATCAAGCTTAATTCAGTTTTAAACATAAAATGGTTACAAAACTTCATTTTATAACCATTTTATGTTTAAAACTGAATTAAGAAAATTTCTTAACTAAATGATAATTCTACTTTAAGAAAACGTCTTTACAGTCCTTTGACAATTGTTAAATTGGAATTTGACTGTATTTATAAACAGATAGTATTGATATATGTGCCCATAAACTATTAACACTGTATTAAAAACTCATTAACAAGCATTTACACTGAAAACAAATTAAATTGTACTTTAAAATCATTAAACTTAATTTGCTTTTTCTAAAAATAGTTAAATAATGAAATTTTATTTTAAATCTTACTTTTGTAGAAATCTCCAAATATTTTTCTATGTCCCTCTCTACATTGATATTTATACCCATTGACAGAAGTTTCTAAAATTATGTGAAAGATAAAAATTATTCAAGTCTTGCTCCGAAAATTATACATGCGCACACACAATATAAGAATACATTATACACACACAATATAAGAATAGATATAAAAATAAAATAAATACGCTATTAGCTGCAATGAATTCAGTTTAGTATGATAACAACAAAGATTATACAAGAAACAAAATATTTTGCAGATTATTACCTATATAAATATATAAAATTCTTAATGATAGTGTATGTACGTGTGTGTATGTGTGTGTGTAGGCTTGAAATCTGGTAAAAGAAATTGTTTGACCTATTGGCCTGAAATTTTACAAGTAATTAAATGGTCTAGTCTGGGTCATATGTAGGATAACCATATTTCCATGAGATAATAGGGAGATAGCACATGCAGGATGAGAAAGAATCATAAAGAAAGATAGTAGAAAATATTTTATAACATAACTATGTTGAACGTACAGTTAATTTTCAATAATAGAAACCCATATAAAAATCAAGGTATAGGAGGTGAACTATGTTTTCCCACAACTATATAGGGAAAATTTCTTTGACAAAGTTATTTTATACAGCATTTTGGTTTTCTATACTATATCATAAACTTCTCGCACTCTATAACGTAGATTTTTATCAAAATTTAACATGCATCCTTATCAAATGCGATGTTAGGTGTATCAGATGCGATGTTAGGTATGTCACTTCCTATCTAAACATTACGAAGTTAGGGTCTTGGAAGACACAGAGACTGAATGATTATTGATTCGTTTAACACAGGTCATAATATCTTTCTCCAAGACAATTTTTTTTTAATTTCTGTGTTTTCAGTATTAAAAAGGAACAAATGTTGTTTTTACGTTACCTAATATCTATTCTTACTTGACATGACCTTGGCCATGTTTCCACGCAAACTTACTAGGTGGCAGGGCTGGGCTTAGCAACACATTGTCGCATTCTTTAAGGTGGTACAATGGATGCTGATTGTGAGCAAAAAGTGAACATTAAGTTCTGCGTTAAGCTCGGGAAAACCCCCTAGTGAAACGTAGAACATGATTAAGCAAGCATACGCAGGCGAGGCACTCTCAAGCAGTCGTCTTTTCGAGTGGCCCAAAAGGTTTCGTGAAGGCAAAGATTCAGTGCAAAATGATCCCAAAGCTGATACCGATTCAAACGTGGAGCGTGCAAGGCAGGTATTGCATGAAGAACGTCGTGTAACTGTGCGTATGATATCAGAACTGAATTTAAATCGTGATGTGTGTAAGATTTTATGCGAAGATTTAGGGAAACGGAAACTTAATGCAAGAATCGTCTTTCACTCACTAACAAATAAACAGAGAGAGGGAAGACGAAAAATTTCTGCTGAACTATTGGATAGAGCCAGACGTGATCCCACATTTGTGTCAGAGATTACTGTGACTTTTTCTTGTTTCCCAGAGTGAAAGGTGACTGAAAGGAAAGCTTCCTCAAGATTATTGCAGACATCTAACCAGCCGTGACAAATGAGCTTGCAAACGTCGCTGTTGAAGATTTCTCTGCTTGCTTCCAGACCTCCAGAAACGTTGGCAGTTATGTATAGATAGCCAAGGGGACTACTCTGATAGTAGGTAGGATCATTACTTGGTACATGCAATTTTCTTTATGACCTTTGTTCTCGACCTTTTCTGGCAAATGATGTAGTTTTTTCATTGCCTCAATATTTAACCTGCATTTCTCGTCTGGCTACAAACTGTTCATAAAAGATAATATCTTTCGATAAATGCTGTATATTCTGGATTTCATGAACGACTAAACTCTGTAATATTGTATAAAATCTTGAAAATCATGGCAAACTTTGCTCATTTCAGAAAAATGCTGTTCACATACAGACAAAACATCTGTTTTCTTTATTCCTGTGCCATTCGTATGACTCACAACTTGCATAATTCTTTAAATATTGCAGACATTATTAATACGAATACGAGAGTTATATAGATATAGAGAATACGAGAGTTATATAGATATAGCAGATACTAAAGCCAGGTGACAAAATACTAGTTGTAGCACTGAATAAAATTAAATGTTACATATAGTTATTTTAATGTATAAAATTACTCAATAATTTTGATTTTTAAAACACGTAAATATAAAACTGAATTTCTAAACTTTTTTTAGGCTTAGAACATGATGACTACTACGGATCCAAACTACGACTTTGTTCAGCCTGTTTATGACAGCGCCTCCAAACTTTAACTGCCAACATTTTTTCAGCATCCGTACACGCAATTTCAAGTGAGATAACATGTCCGTTATAAGTCACTTCCTATCTAAACAATTTACATTTGGTACTACTTAAAATTAGACTGACTTCCTTCAATTTCTGAAGAACCGTTATGAGGTTTTCTAAATGCTCTTCAAAACTCTTCAAGACGATGATGATGTCGTACAGGTGTATTAGACAGGGTTCGTAGGAAAGGCTTCTCAGCGCAGTTTCTATGAGGACTTCGAATGTCACCGACACATTACAAAAGCATCAAAAACACCTCTGAAAAGAGTATCCAAGTATCATCAATTCTAAGAAGAGGATAGGTGTCTTTCTTCATGACCTCATTCAACTGGCAATAGTCAAAGCAAGATCTACGCAAATTTTCTCTTGGACCAGAACGATAGGAAAGGCCCAAGGACTTGCGGAAGACTCGATAATGCCGCTTTCTTAAATGTCTTTTAGAAGTTTTCCTGCCTCTTTCTGTTTAGCAACTGGGTATTGCTTGATTAGTGGATGACGCGCCATATCAATTCTATACTAAGCCAAACTGTTTCGATCTACGTCAGAAGATATCCAGGGAGAAAACATCTTTAATTTTTGAATGACGTATTCTGCAACACTCCTTTCTTCATCGCTTAATTGTGCATTCTGCAATAACTGCGATGTTAGGGTCTCCGAAGACACAGAGACTGAAGGACTATTGATTCGTTTAACGCAGGTCACTGGAGTACATATTACAATCACTTCGCCTTTTCTAATCACTCGCCTTATCACTTACGATGGTAACTCTTACCGGAATGACGGTCTTCGATAGGTCGACGAGTCCCGCGGTTACTAATACTCCTTTCAGGCGCTTATAATTCTTAGAACACTCCATTATGCCGTACCAAAACTTTCTATTTTCAGCTATGGATCCAGGAAATAAGAACTCTGTTCTTTTTGCGACAAATGCCATGTGATGGACGGCGGCACTTCCAAACGTTACGTTAGCATTTAACTTTCCATCGATGTCGACACAGTCTGTATGGTAACGCTAGGCGGCGCAGATGAGTTAACCCTGCAGTCGTTGAGCAGATGATGCTAATAATGGCTCCTGTATCGATGGCCATATTCAAGGAACTCCATTTATATGTCCCATGATGAAGACTCCAATACTTCCGCAAATCATTACAGAAATCTGAAGTGCTTTAGAATGGGCTTCTCAGTATCTGGCAACCTCCACCCTGAGAGATGGGGCCAATAATCAGTTCTTGCGTTACTGTCAGAAGTAGTCTTAGCTTCCGTGTCGTCTTGGGTGTTCTGCAGTTCTTTCGTACGTATACTTCATCATCGCATTTTCAGCACTTTAGGGGTGGTTTGTTACCACTCCTTTTCCGCTTCAAGGCACTGACTTGCCTGGTTCAATGGTCTAGACGAGCAGTCACTTGATCCACTGGCTCCTGAACTTGAGCAGCTCTCATTAGGTGACGGTCTCTACAAGTTGCTCTAGGTGTGTCAGATGCGATGCAATAACTACGATGTTAGGGTCTTGGAAGACACAGAGACTGAATGATTATTGATTCGTTTAACACAGGTCATAATATCTTTCTCCAAGACAATTTTTTTTTTAATTTCTGTGTTTTCAGTATTAAAAAGGAACAAATGTTGTTTTTACGTTACCTAATATCTATTCTTACTTGACATAACCTTGGCCATGTTTCCACGCAAACTTACTAGGTGGCAGGGCTGGGCTTAGCAACACATTGTCGCATTCTTTAAGGTGGTACAATGGATGCTGATTGTGAGCAAAAAGTGAACATTAAGTTCTGCGTTAAGCTCGGGAAAACCCCCTAGTGAAACGTAGAACATGATTAAGCAAGCATACGCAGGCGAGGCACTCTCAAGCAGTCGTCTTTTCGAGTGGCCCAAAAGGTTTTTCGTGAAGGCAAAGATTCAGTGCAAAATGATCCCAAAGCTGATACCGATTCAAACGTGGAGCGTGCAAGGCAGGTATTGCATGAAGAACGTCGTGTAACTGTGCGTATGATATCAGAACTGAATTTAAATCGTGATGTGTGTAAGATTTTATGCGAAGATTTAGGAAACGGAAACTTAATGCAAGAATCGTCTTTCACTCACTAACAAATAAACAGAGAGAGGGAAGACGAAAAATTTCTGCTGAACTATTGGATAGAGCCAGACGTGATCCCACATTTGTGTCAGAGATTACTGTGACTTTTTCTTGTTTCCCAGAGTGAAAAGGTGACTGAAAGGAAAGCTTCCTCAAGATTATTGCAGACATCTAACCAGCCGTGACAAATGAGCTTGCAAACGTCGCTGTTGAAGATTTCTCTGCTTGCTTCCAGACCTCCAGAAACGTTGGCAGTTATGTATAGATAGCCAAGGGGACTACTCTGATAGTAGGTAGGATCATTACTTGGTACATGCAATTTTCTATTTTTTATGACCTTTGTTCTCGACCTTTTCTGGCAAATGATGTAGTTTTTTCATTGCCTCAATATTTAACCTGCATTTCTCGTCTGCCTACAAACTGTTCATAAAAGATAATATCTTTCGATAAATGCTGTATATTCTGGATTTCATGAACGACTAAACTCTGTAATATTGTAAAAAATCTTGAAAATCATGGCAAACTTCGCTCATTTCAGAAAAATGCTGTTCACATACAGACAAAACATCTGTTTTCTTTATTCCTGTGCCATTCGTATGACTCACAACTTGCATAATTCTTTAAATATTGCAGACATTATTAATACGAATACGAGAGTTATATAGATATAGAGAATACGAGAGTTATATAGATATAGCAGATACTAAAGCCAGGTGACAAAATACTAGTTGTAGCACTGAATAAAATTAAATGTTACATATAGTTATTTTAATGTATAAAATTACTCAATAATTTTGATTTTTAAAACACGTAAATATAAAACTGAATTTCTAAACTTTTTTTAGGCTTAGACATGATGACTACTACGGATCCAAACTACGACTTTGTTCAGCCTGTTTATGACAGCGCCTCCAAACTTTAACTGCCAACATTTTTTCAGCATCCGTACACGCAATTTCAAGTGAGATAACATGTCCGTTATAAGTCACTTCCTATCTAAACAATTTACATTTGGGTACTACTTAAAATTAGACTGACTTCCTTCAATTTCTGAAGAACCGTTATGAGGTTTTCTAAATGCTCTTCAAAACTCTTCAAGACGATGATGATGTCGTACAGGTGTATTAGACAGGGTTCGTAGGAAAGGCTTCTCAGCGCAGTTTCTATGAGGACTTCGAATGTCACCGACACATTACAAAAGCATCAAAAACACCTCTGAAAAGAGTATCCAAGTATCATCAATTCTAAGAAGAGGATAGGTGTCTTTCTTCATGACCTCATTCAACTGGCAATAGTCAAAGCAAGATCTACGCAAATTTCTCTTGGACCAGAACGATAGGAAAGGCCCAAGGACTTGCGGAAGACTCGATAATGCCGCTTTCTTAAATGTCTTTTAGAAGTTTTCCTGCCTCTTTCTGTTTAGCAACTGGGTATTGCTTGATTAGTGGATGACGCGCCATATCAATTCTATACTAAGCCAAACTGTTTCGATCTACGTCAGAAGATATCCAGGAGAAAACATCTTTAATTTTTGAATGACGTATTCTGCAACACTCCTTTCTTCATCGCTTAATTGTGCATTCTGCAATAACTGCGATGTTAGGGTCTCCGAAGACACAGAGACTGAAGGACTATTGATTCGTTTAAACGCAGGTCACTGGAGTACATATTACAATCACTTCGCTTTTCTAATCACTCGCCTTATCACTTACGATGGTAACTTTACCGGAATGACGGTCTTCGATAGGTCGACGAGTCCCGCGGTTACTAATACTCCTTCAGGCGCTTATAATTCTTAGAACACTCCATTATGCCGTACCAAAACTTTCTATTTTCAGCTATGGATCCAGGAAATAAGAACTCTGTTCTTTTTGCGACAAATGCCATGTGATGGTAGGCGGCACTTCCAAACGTGTGTTAATATTTACTTTTCCATCAATGTTGATCTTCTCGCCTGATACAGTCTGGAGAGTAATGCAGTATGGCGTCCAAATGAGTTTGCTTTTCGATTGTTGAGCTACATCTTTTTGAATGATGGCAACATTGGCTCCTGTATGGATGGTTATATTACAAGGAATGCCATTGAT